AAGCTTCTTTGTTTCAAGCATTTCGTGTTGAGGATCACATTCGTTTATAATGTAGGAAAAGTTGTCCTACTGTGAATATAGAGTACATGGGCATGTGAGTAAAGCTGAAGTATTGCTTTATGGGGATAAGTATCAGCAAAGGCATTAAAAAGTCATAAAACGTGATAAAGTCACCATAAGAGTATCTTTTGGTCCTTAAGGGAGGTGCTATATAATGCAAAAGCCCCATCCCCCACAAAACCCGAACCGTATCCTCTCGCACATGGAGCGTCACGCTTACCACTACACTAAGCCGCCGTTGAGGAGTGAGGCATCCATGTAGTTTAAGTTTCCTTATGTTAAGCTCACTGGAACCACCTTCATAACTCCGTTTAGAGAAACGCTCGGCAGATTTGGAAAGCAGATTTGAACTCAACATCCAAAAACACGTCCAGCTGTGCCGGTCTCACTTCAATTGGTCAATTTGACTTGGGATCCTTCCCGTAAGGTTGCAGGAGGTTGACAGCGATAGGCACTGCTCGTAGATTCTACAGGGTGCGCCATAAATATGGTCACAAAAGAATTGGGCTACAGAAACCGCAGTTCATATCGATACATGGTGAATTCATGAGTTATTCACTATACATTCACAAAATGAACACATGGTCATCTTATATAATCGTCTCCTGTACTAATTATGGCTCAAAGATGCTTCGGCTACTCATCGACGGCGGCACGCAGAGTTTCTTGAGAAACTCCAGCCTGAGATTTTTTCATTGGCTTCTTATGGGCAGCATGAGTGGTGCGGTATGAAGTGCAGGCTTTCCTCTCCAGAATGAACTATATCCAGCAACTCATCACATCGTCGTACGGGATATTCGTAGGAGGCTTGGAAGCTGGGATGAAGACGAACACTCCCTCAGCGCCAGTCGCGGTATTAATAGCGCACGGCATTGATTTTTCTCTCCAACTTCTTCTCGTCAAGAAGCTTATAGGGCTTTCGAGTTTTATCTGGATACAATTATATTTGCCAGGATTAGACTCTTCTCGTCGGAGTAGAACATACAAAAATTAGCAGCCATTTTTCTCGTATTTCGGCAGGTTTTGCAGCGTACTCCTTCCCAGGTAATTCTATTCGGAACAGGGGTTGTATGTGAGGCAAAACGACCGTCTTGAGGTTTGCCCCGACCTGCCTATGCATCGCGATTAAAGAGACGGTCAGTGAGGAAAATGTTGAAAAGTGGAGCCATTTCGGAAAGGGACTCACCAAATGCGCGCAAAGACGGAAAGGCTGGTGGATGTTCGCGAGGCTCCACCGTTTTTCAAAATCTGACGAATTGAGAGCACCAAAGTAGATATACAGTCTAAGGTATATCATGAACGTGAGGAAAAGCGCAGATTTGGGGAAACCCCTTCAAAAAAGTAAATTTCAGACGTCCGAAAAGTCGTTACCATACTTATGGCGCACCCTGTAGTCGCTACAAAGCAAGGCGCACGAGTCCCTGAAAAATGGCAAAAGTAAGCCAGTTGTTCCCAAACATATTGCATAAAGTTCAAGCCTACTGGTAGTTTCTTGGAAGGTAGAGCTCAGATCAAAACAATTAATTTCTTTTTAACCCATTCTTTGTTGTGGCGCATGGTTAGTGTGCGGAGCCCAACTGATATCATTATGTTCAACATTTCCGACTCCATCTAGAGACAGTGCAGAATCTCATGAATTCTACAGGGTACCGCAATTTCCAAACAAAATGACATCATCAGAGTGAATAATATACGAAATTCAAGATTGTAAGTAAGCTAAAGAACAGTGTTGAAGAACATCCCCGACAAATATGGAAGACTTGCGAGAATTATGCCAAAAGTCTCAAATAACGAAGCAATTATACATCAACCTTGATATGTACTAATGACATCGATAATGTTGTGATCTTCAAAAGTCAAATCTCAGGGTCTTGGAAGATTTGCGTCATAAGAAAAAAGTGGTTTTGCGTAGAAGCTTCGCCTGATATGTTTGTTCCAATGCTACAAACCAAATTCATTGCCCACAGATTCCGGCGCTCTCGGGACAAGTAAATTGAGCAGCAACACAATTCTTTGGTAGGACCAATATGATCGCTTGCTAAGAACTTTAGTGCACTTTTTATAGAGAAGTAGAGGCTTCTGCAAGCAATAATTAATCAAAGACACATTGTCATTAGACCGGGCCTTTGAAGTGTTTATTGGAATAAAACAACCAAAGTTGAAGTTGTTGAAGTAATGGCCAGCGATATCCTACTTTATATAATTCGCTAGGTGTGTTTGTTGGTGTGTCGGTGTGTTTGTATGTTTGTGTGTGAGTGTGTGTGTGTGTCGGTGTGTGTGTTTGACCGGAAATTCATAACTCCTGTCCCCGTGAACCTAGAGCGTTCAAATTTGGTAGGAATACGGGGGGCAGGATGTTATCACCTGTGGTATGTGGCAGGACCGGACTCCACTCACAGAGGGCGGGGCGTGCGCGTTAGAAATTTTGGGCCGCAAATTCATAACTCCTGTCATCGTGGACCTAGAGCGTTCAAACTTGGTAGGAGTAAGGGGGGTAGGATGGGAACACCTTTGTTAAGTGGTAGTACCGGACTACTTTTATAAGGGGCGAGGAGTGCACGATAAAAATTTTAGGTCGCAAATTCATAACTTCTGTCCCAGTGGACCTAAAGTGCTCAAACCTGATAGGAGTACAGGCGGCAGGATGGGAATACTTACGATGGGTGGCAGGACAGGACCCCGCCCATAGAAGGCGAGGTTTGCTCCAAAAATTTTAGTTTGGCTCTAGGGCGTTCAAACTTGGTAGGAAGCAGGCGGCAGTATGGGAACACTTATGGTGAGTAGTAGGGCCGGACTCCCAAGGGACGGGGTTTCCGCGAAATAAATGAGTGGAAATCCATAACTTCTGATCCCGTGGACTTGGACAGCAAAATCAATAGGAGGAGGCAGGATGGGAACACTGACAATAGAAGAGGCCCTAGAGAAGGAGATCCACTCACCAATTACCTCCTAGCTAGCGCCTTTGTTATTCACGATCTAGCTCTCTCTTTTTGATATGTTTCATTCGACAATAAGGGTAAGTTGTGTGGTTATGAAGAGATGAATTTGGTTCACTTCTTGCTATTAGATTAAGACCGCTACCCGGCAGAGTTTGCGATTAAGTGAAAGATAACGGATTCTCTCTGCTCTGGTATCATTCCTAGCCAAACCTTATCCGACCGCTAATAATGTTGGATTCACATTGAATGATGTATCCGTAGAAAAAATGAAGTACATCTTTGAAAGCATCTGATAGTCTATACTCTAACTCAGCGAAACAGCGAAATAACCTGGAAAAAAGTTGGGAAGTATTTCATCCATTTGATGTTTTTCGGGCGAAGTCCCTTTGTCCCAAGAAGGAAGAGAGCACGGCGTCAGTTGTGAACACATATGGTGGGTGGCAGGACCGGACTCCGCCCTCAGGGGCGGGGCTTGCAGAGGAATGCCAAAATGGACCTA